AATTTGGATAATTCTATTAACCTGTCTTCAAGTTCACTGATCCTTTCTTTTGCAGTTTGATTTTCTTTTAAGCCTACCCACAAAATTAGTCTTCAAAGATTTCATGTTCCTCCTGAACTTCATCACACATCTTCGTCCTTTTCAATCTATCATTTCCTATAGATTTTTTAACATTAATAATTACTTTAAAATTCTTATTCACTAATTTCAAATTCCTGGTTGTCTGGTTTTTGTTCAACTTTTTTCTTGTTTTACATCATACATTTGTTTCTTATGTCTCCTGATTTGTGATTGTACACTACACATTCTGAATATGTTGTAAAGCCTCTGGATTCAGTTACTTTTTTCTATGAAGACTGTTGAATTTTGTTTCAGTAGGCAGTTTCTAGCAGATCTCCTCGATTCTTTGAAGGCTTGATTTCAGCTTCCATTAGAGTGGGTCTATTTTCGTTCTGTCCTTAGTCCTAAAGCCTAGACCTGACTCCTGGGTTGTGGTTCTAATCTTAAGGGATAGCTTTCTGGTTTTCAGTGGAAAGCCCAAAACATTTACAAAACCTAACATGATGGGGCATAAATTCCTTTCCCTCCTGAGCACCAGACATCTGCTGAAATCTCTGCTGAGTCTTTCCAGCCTTCCGGCTCTTTTCTGTTGGGCTTCTTGGAATCCTCCCCTATTCATGCATCATTTAGGAATCAGCCAAGGATGTGAGAGGAGTGTGCACAGCAAATTCAAGGCTTTGTGGCTTCCTTCTTCCTGGGATGTCCCCCTTCGTTTCCAGCTGCTCAGACAGCCCAGAACTCCAGCTTTGCTCCTCAGCCTAGTTAAGACTGACACTTTTTGTTTTGTTTTCTATGGGCCACATGAGGAATAGTCTCTTAAATGTGGATCTTAGGCAATGGGTTTCTTTTTTCGGTATTTGGGCCCCCTCCTGTTTTTGCCTGTCTTTGGTCACTTTCCAGCACATTTTAAAAGTGTGTATAATTATCAATAGGAGGGTTAGTCTGATACAAGATGTTTTGCCAGTTCTGGAAGCCAGATGTTAAAATGTTATTTAAAATAAAGTAGAATAAAACTCAACTTGCTTTTCTTTATTTGGGTGATGGTTATACAACAAGTGTAGTGTGTTCACTTTGAAAATCTATCAAGATGTGTATTTGTGCCTATATGTGCTATACATCAGTAAAAAAGTTTATTAGAAGAAAAAGCCAATTTCACCTATGCCTACAGGCTAAAACCCCTTAGGCCCCTTTCTCGTCCCGGACTCAGACTCGGACCCCTTCTGTGGAACCTCTCCCAGTCCCGGCTCCAGCCACGCGGGTCTGTTTGCAACGCCCTGAATGAGATGTACTAGCTCCCGTTCCTCCCTCGACCCTGTTCCGACCCCAACCCTGCCCCATCCTACATGCACAGCTCTGCTTAGTCCTCAGGCCTCAGTTTACGCACCATCGCCAAGTCCCTCCTCCCCTCCTCCTCAGGCACCCCTGGTTGTGTTCTCACAGCCACAAGGTCTGTCTCCCTGACCTCTACCTTGGCAAGAGCACTACTGCACCAGCTTGCAGTGTCCAGTCAGCACCTGAATGGCAGCCACCATTTCTTCAACGTCAAACCCAGACCCAGAGCAAGAGTGCAGAGAATGCGCGAACTGAACGAGTGCACGCCCCCCTGTTACGGTCGGCACTCCTGGAGCAGCTTGTCTGCCAGATCTTGTCTGGGGCAGTTCTCCAAGGTTGAGGACATAGAAGCAGCACGGATGGTGTCCTGAGAATCCAGAGAATCAGCAGCAATGAGACCCAGCTCCGTCACCAGACCAGACGCTGAGGCGCAGCTCCCCTCCCTGTCTGGGCCTACTTGTGCCTGAGCAAGAGGTAGAACTTTGAACTCTAAAAATCTAAACATAAAAGCTGAATAATCAGGCAGTTTTAAAGAAGAGAAGGAAACTTTATTGTGTTGAGCAGACCTTATTTTCATTACAGTACCAGAAAATTCACTCTCAGTTCATTTCAGGGGCACAGGGCTCTGCAGCCATTTAGAGCCTCAATGCCTGTTCCCAAGCAAGGGCAGCACCCGGGCCTATGTTGCATTTAATAGAACAAGATTACAGTAAAATAGAATAGTTATAAAGAAGGTCTTTTAAAAGTATTTTTTTTAACTATAGCACTTTTCTTCATTGTTCCATGTTTACCTTATCATTGTTACCAAGGAAAACTGGTTAGAAAATATGGTAACCAGGAGTCTTTTTTTTTCAAATTGATGACCTTAGGTTAATGTATTTTGCTACTTATATTTTGATGAGGAATTGTCCTCCCCACTTCTCTGGAAAGCTAAGCAGTGACAAGTAAGGCGATGAGTGACTTAGAGGCGGCATGAAGGCCTTAGCTCACACCCTAACTTAGGTCCTACTTCAGTCTTCCACGTTTGGCCTCTGTGTGTCTAGGAAGTTGGGAAATTTCAGGAATGGCCTCATCCTTGCTTAATCATTACCATGGAGTTTAAATGTTGCAGACTACTTCTGAGGAGCATGCAACTGCTTGAAGCTCATCTGTGGCTTTCACAGATTGTCGGCACTAATGGTACCCTGAGTGGGGAGACCCTCTACTCGGGGCGCTGATTCACCGACTCCCAGAAGCATCTTTTTCTGTACCAGATCAAGAGATCAAAGATCAAGTAATGAAAGAGAAATTGGTATCTTTCAGGTACCACCATCCTTGAAATGCCAATATCAAACAACCTGAGTTACTAAAGTTTACTTTGCTTGAATTCAATGAGGTAATTACCATCCTGATTAAGACCTTTCCTTACAACATCAAGGCAGGGAAAACATGAACTGAAGGAACAGATCTCACCTCAGCAAACTAGACACACGACAGCTATATTTAAGATGGCTGACTCTAACTATCCCACAAAGGTGTCCCCATAAAATCAAATGTTTAAAAAACTATTAAAATTACACAATGGAATTTATATTTAAACAACTGCACACAATGTACCCTCCGTTTGTTGTTACCAAGAACAAGTTTCCATTAGATGGCTCTACCAAAACATTTACATTTCCATGAAATTCGATACCACAATATTAACACTTTATTCAGGACAAGGAACCGAACAATGAATTATTTATTTTAATCATCGATGGCAATTTTAGAAAAGGACTGCTCTCAAGCACCTAAACTCAGTCTTCAGGGAGACGCGGAGGAAGAGGAATAATCACTCTGCGCCCACTGCTCCGAGGGGGGTGTCCGACCTGCTCCGGATCTCGGGGTCAGCGATGTGTAACCCCCTCCTGCAGGAAACTGGGATCTCCTTCCTCACTACCACCTGAGCCAGGCTCTCCCCAAAGCCCCCTGCCTGCCCTAGCTCTCAGCTCTTCAGTCAGGGACTCTCAGTCCCTGCAACCAGATAAAAATGGTCCATGTAGGCAGAGCCTTAACAAGGCTCATAATATGGGGACTTAAGGGCAGCAGAGCAAATTAAGCTCTGTTCTTGGAAGCTATTTCTTAACATACGTACAATCTTTGCTCACCCAAGGCTTGAGTTCACACGTACATGGGCCTACCACGATGCAGGGTGCTCCTTGGTAGGTAGTCACACATCGGTATGTTTCAATCTGAAATGCCACATTTTGACAGATTTCAACACTTTATTAATCTTGTGGAAAACTAACTTGCTATCTCCATGTGGTAAGTACTGAGCTCAATTTTAAAACAAAACACACCGGCCGAGTGGCAGGCTGTGTACATAGGTTTTGATCTCAATCAAATATCACTGTTCATAGAACATAAAAGCTCATATTATTTCATGCCATTCTAACATGTCACATTATTTCATATCATTCTGGCTCTGACTCAGAAAGAAAATTTTCCATTATGGCATGATGAGAGAAAAAAAATCTATTACATATAAATGATAGTTAAAAACAATGCACTGTGAACAGCTCCCAGAAGCTTGAATGTTTCAGTGCAACCAATTCTTACTTCTTGGGGAAAAACCTCTCCCACCTATATTTTCAGTCACAATTTGCTTTTAGTTGAGATGAAGTGACCAATTTTTAGTGCTAACATCATTTCCTAGGGCATTAGAAGTTCATTTTGAAAGATGCTTATGCCACATGAACCAAGATACTGGCAGAAGGGCCCTAGCCTAGCCCATTTTCGAAGTAAGCTGGCCTTACATATTCAGACTCAACATTAACAAGACTTGGGTTCATGATGGGGGCGAAGAGGACATGCACAGTCCAGAGCACAGGCTCCACACTGCTCCTTCCTCCCGATATGCACAAGAGACCTGGTGGGAAGACACAAAGGCCTGTTCTATGGCCCAAGGAACCAGCATTTAAGAAGGGTGTCCCAGTGACTGTGTATTTCCTGCTCCCAGAAGGTGAAGTGGAAAATGCAGTTCTGCCCAGGTGCAGGGAGGAGGGGCAGCAGCAGCAGTGAAGGCTCAGGCGGATCTGAGATGAAGCTGCACAGTCGTGTTCTGCTCCCACGATTCCATCCCTTAGCTGCTCTGACCCAAGAGGGGCAGGGCAGGGGGCTCACGCTACAGCCCTTGTCAACAGCAGTGCTTCTAAGGGCACTTCTCAGTCTTGGATGAACTGATCTAAAACTCTTCTGAGCTTCCCTCCCCAGTTTTTACCGGATTTAGAAAAGCAAAGTTGCTCCCTCAGACTGACAGACTCCCAAGCTAACTTCTACATGTGATTTGGAAAAAATAAATTACTCGATATGTCATAAGACTTTGATTTAAAAAAAAAAGACTGCAAGTCAGCTATACCTGGCTTAGAAGAGCAAGGACTTAGCTACCCATCTGCACCCCCTTGTCGTATTTTTAAGCAACAGGCAAAACCTGAGAACTGCTCACGTGGGAGGAGGCAGAGTCCATGAGAGCCCTGGCTGCTGTCCCTGCAGCCAGGCAGACGGAGGGGAGGGCCTGGAGCCCCACACCCACGCAGGCCAGTGGCACACTGACTCCTCGTGGCTGCCTCCCGGCACGGCCCACTCACCAGGACAGGCTGCTGCAGACGGGCCAGTCTGGGCTCTGATGTAAAGACGCAAGAAGCAAAGGCTGACGGCCAGCGCTGCTTGGAGAGGCAACTCCATGGAGCCAGACGGGGAGTGCTGGCAATCTGTGCAAGCGGGAGGCAATCCGCAGTGCCAGACTAAAAGGAATATAGAACAGTGTATAGGAAAACATGGACCACCCAGTCAGAACCTCTCCCGGCCTCAGGTCTGGGAGTCTCTTGTAAAAGAAAGTCGAAGCCACCGTCCCCCAGGTCTGGGAGGAGGCGGGGCAGATGATGCGGCAGCCTTCCTGGGGGGCCCTGAGCCTCCCAGGTGGGTCCCTGGAGGGGTCACTAGGGCTGCATGCAGTGAGCAGATCAGTAACAGACATCTTTTTAGAAAGTGGGAAAAAAAGCAAGGACTTTCATAAATACGAAAATTGTTTACAAAACAATTACCTAAAAAAGTTCATTGGGGTTGGGTGGGGAATAACAGTAATGTTTTTGTTTCAAATTATTTGCAATGGTACTGATGGTTTATAAACAGAATGGCCGGTTTTCTGGTCTTTCTGCCTTCCCTCAACACCCCAGAGCCTTCCTGCTCCTGACATTTCCCTACCCTCAGCCCAACCCACCCCCATCCTACCCCAAAATTAGTTTGCCTGGAGCCAACCCAGGAGACACACAATTGCCTGGCTGGGTTTCAATTCAACAGTGAACGCAATGCTGGGGGCGCAATGCTGGGGGCGAGAGCACAGGAGGGCGCAGCGGCACGGGCACAAACCTCAGGGGCGGGCCTTGAGCAAAGCCTCAGCCGGCCGGCCTCAAAGCCGCACCCGCTCTGCAGCGCAGGCTGCAGACTGAGCTCCGCGGCCAGCACGCTGGCACGGAAGGACACGGCGGCGCGGGCGGGGCGCTTCCCGGGCGAGGCAGCAAGCGTGCTCTTGCCGTGGGCACCGTGGGGCCTGCTTTCTCCCAGTTGCCTCTGCCATGTTCCTTTCTGGTTAAAAGACTGCTCTCTACCGAGTCCCAAAAGACCAGACAGTTGTCTTCCCATGAGGTACAAATCCGATAGGGCCTCAACTCCGAGATCCAGAGCCCACCTGGATGCAGACGTCAAAATCACATGCTCAGAATCAAAAGCTGTGGCACACCTGCCCAGCCAGTTTATCAGCAGTTGTATAGACAGATCAGAAAAAACTAGCATTTAATATAAAAAGTGTTTTTCAAATGGTGTAATTTCCTATCCTCCTCTAGAAATCATAATTCTTCACGTTTCTGAGGACCTATGGGAAAGGAGAACAATTGAAAATAAAATGAATTATTAAATTATAAAAATACAGATTGGGCATTTTCTGGTATTGTGACCTGTTACAATGTGCCCCCACCTCCACTTTATCTCTCTTAAAATTTTTAGAGGCTGGTTTGGTGTATTACACAGATGACCCTTGAACAACACAGGGGTTAGGGCCACTGACCGCCCCAATGCAGTTAAAAATACACATATAATTTTTGACTTTCCAAAAGCTTAACTATTAACAGCCTACTGGTGACCAGAAGCCTTAACAACAGATAAACAGTCAATTAACACATGTATTGTATATATTATATACTGTATTCTTACAATACAGTAAGCTAGAGGAAAGAAAATGCTTTTTCACATTGTTACAAATCTACAAAAAATCTTCTAATATATTTACTGAAAAAGTCTGTGTATAAGCAGAACTGTGCAGCTCAAACCTTTGTTCAAGTATCCTCTGTATTCTGAAGGAAACAAAAAGACATTTTTGTTTTTACAAACATGGAAACTATCTGCAAATCCCTGCAAACCCCCACTGTGTTTGAACTGCTTTAAGCAGTACAGCATTTACTTCCAGTAAAAATGTACACATTTTTGGTTGGGAGTCTTCTTTTCTCACTTAATAACATACATGCATTTTCCCATGTAGCTGTGTTGCTCATTTATGATTCTCTATTCTTGGATGTTTACTAAACTGTTTTTAACGCTTTTGGTTTACAAATAATAGTAACCCAGACCCAGAGCAAGAGTGCAGAGAATGCGCGAACTGAACGAGTGCACGCCCCCCTGTTACGGTCGGCACTCCTGGAGCAGCTTGTCTGCCAGATCTTGTCTGGGGCAGTTCTCCAAGGTTGAGGACATAGAAGCAGCACGGATGCTGTCCTGAGAATCCAGAGAATCAGCAGCAATGAGACCCAGCTCCGTCACCAGACCAGACGCTGAGGCGCAGCTCCCCTCCCTGTCTGGGCCTACTTGTGCCTGAGCAAGAGGTAGAACTTTGAACTCTAAAAATCTAAACATAAAAGCTGAATAATCAGGCAGTTTTAAAGAAGAGAAGGAAACTTTATTGTGTTGAGCAGACCTTATTTTCATTACAGTACCAGAAAATTCACTCTCAGTTCATTTCAGGGGCACAGGGCTCTGCAGCCATTTAGAGCCTCAATGCCTGTTCCCAAGCAAGGGCAGCACCCGGGCCTATGTTGCATTTAATAGAACAAGATTACAGTAAAATAGAATAGTTATAAAGAAGGTCTTTTAAAAGTATTTTTTTTAACTATAGCACTTTTCTTCATTGTTCCATGTTTACCTTATCATTGTTACCAAGGAAAACTGGTTAGAAAATATGGTAACCAGGAGTCTTTTTTTTTCAAATTGATGACCTTAGGTTAATGTATTTTGCTACTTATATTTTGATGAGGAATTGTCCCCACTTCTCTGGAAAGCTAAGCAGTGACAAGTAAGGCGATGAGTGACTTAGAGGCGGCATGAAGGCCTTAGCTCACACCCTAACTTAGGTCCTACTTCAGTCTTCCACGTTTGGCCTCTGTGTGTCTAGGAAGTTGGGAAATTTCAGGAATGGCCTCATCCTTGCTTAATCATTACCATGGAGTTTAAATGTTGCAGACTACTTCTGAGGAGCATGCAACTGCTTGAAGCTCATCTGTGGCTTTCACAGATTGTCGGCACTAATGGTACCCTGAGTGGGGAGACCCTCTACTCGGGGCACTGATTCACCGACTCCCAGAAGCATCTTTTTCTGTACCAGATCAAGAGATCAAAGATCAAGTAATGAAAGAGAAATTGGTATCTTTCAGGTACCACCATCCTTGAAATGCCAATATCAAACAACCTGAGTTACTAAAGTTTACTTTGCTTGAATTCAATGAGGTAATTACCATCCTGATTAAGACCTTTCCTTACAACATCAAGGCAGGGAAAACATGAACTGAAGGAACAGATCTCACCTCAGCAAACTAGACACACGACAGCTATATTTAAGATGGCTGACTCTAACTATCCCACAAAGGTGTCCCCATAAAATCAAATGTTTAAAAAACTATTAAAATTACACAATGGAATTTATATTTAAACAACTGCACACAATGTACCCTCCGTTTGTTGTTACCAAGAACAAGTTTCCATTAGATGGCTCTACCAAAACATTTACATTTCCATGAAATTCGATACCACAATATTAACACTTTATTCAGGACAAGGAACCGAACAATGAATTATTTATTTTAATCATCGATGGCAATTTTAGAAAAGGACTGCTCTCAAGCACCTAAACTCAGTCTTCAGGGAGACGCGGAGGAAGAGGAATAATCACTCTGCGCCCACTGCTCCGAGGGGGGTGTCCGACCTGCTCCGGATCTCGGGGTCAGCGATGTGTAACCCCCTCCTGCAGGAAACTGGGATCTCCTTCCTCACTACCACCTGAGCCAGGCTCTCCCCAAAGCCCCCTGCCTGCCCTAGCTCTCAGCTCTTCAGTCAGGGACTCTCAGTCCCTGCAACCAGATAAAAATGGTCCATTTAGGCAGAGCCTTAACAAGGCTCATAATATGGGGACTTAAGGGCAGCAGAGCAAATTAAGCTCTGTTCTTGGAAGCTATTTCTTAACATACGTACAATCTTTGCTCACCCAAGGCTTGAGTTCACACGTACATGGGCCTACCACGATGCAGGGTGCTCCTTGGTAGGTAGTCACACATCGGTATGTTTCAATCTGAAATGCCACATTTTGACAGATTTCAACACTTTATTAATCTTGTGGAAAACTAACTTGCTATCTCCATGTGGTAAGTACTGAGCTCAATTTTAAAACAAAACACACCGGCCGAGTGGCAGGCTGTGTACATAGGTTTTGATCTCAATCAAATATCACTGTTCATAGAACATAAAAGCTCATATTATTTCATGCCATTCTAACATGTCACATTATTTCATATCATTCTGGCTCTGACTCAGAAAGAAAATTTTCCATTATGGCATGATGAGAGAAAAAAAATCTATTACATATAAATGATGGTTAAAAACAATGCACTGTGAACAGCTCCCAGAAGCTTGAATGTTTCAGTGCAACCAATTCTTACTTCTTGGGGAAAAACCTCTCCCACCTATATTTTCAGTCACAATTTGCTTTTAGTTGAGATAAAGTGACCAATTTTTAGTGCTAACATCATTTCCTAGGGCATTAGAAGTTCATTTTGAAAGATGCTTATGCCACATGAACCAAGATACTGGCAGAAGGGCCCTAGCCTAGCCCATTTTCGAAGTAAGCTGGCCTTACATATTCAGACTCAACATTAACAAGACTTGGGTTCATGATGGGGGCGAAGAGGACATGCACAGTCCAGAGCACAGGCTCCACACTGCTCCTTCCTCCCGATATGCACAAGAGACCTGGTGGGAAGACACAAAGGCCTGTTCCATGGCCCAAGGAACCAGCATTTAAGAAGGGTGTCCCAGTGACTGTGTATTTCCTGCTCCCAGAAGGTGAAGTGGAAAATGCAGTTCTGCCCAGGTGCAGGGAGGAGGGGCAGCAGCAGCAGTGAAGGCTCAGGTAGATCTGAGATGAAGCTGCACAGTCGTGTTCTGCTCCCACGATTCCATCCCTTAGCTGCTCTGACCCAAGAGGGGCAGGGCAGGGGGCTCACGCTACAGCCCTTGTCAACAGCAGTGCTTCTAAGGGCACTTCTCAGTCTTGGATGAACTGATCTAAAACTCTTCTGAGCTTCCCTCCCCAGTTTTTACCGGATTTAGAAAAGCAAAGTTGCTCCCTCAGACTGACAGACTCCCAAGCTAACTTCTACATGTGATTTGGAAAAAATAAATTACTCGATATGTCATAAGACTTTGATTTAAAAAAAAAAGACTGCAAGTCAGCTATACCTGGCTTAGAAGAGCAAGGACTTAGCTACCCATCTGCACCCCCTTGTCGTATTTTTAAGCAACAGGCAAAACCTGAGAACTGCTCACGTGGGAGGAGGCAGAGTCCATGAGAGCCCTGGCTGCTGTCCCTGCAGCCAGGCAGACGGAGGGGAGGGCCTGGAGCCCCACACCCACGCAGGCCAGTGGCACACTGACTCCTCGTGGCTGCCTCCCGGCACGGCCCACTCACCAGGACAGGCTGCTGCAGACGGGCCAGTCTGGGCTCTGATGTAAAGACGCAAGAAGCAAAGGCTGACGGCCAGCGCTGCTTGGAGAGGCAACTCCATGGAGCCAGACGGGGAGTGCTGGCAATCTGTGCAAGCGGGAGGCAATCCGCAGTGCCAGACTAAAAGGAATATAGAACAGTGTATAGGAAAACATGGACCACCCAGTCAGAACCTCTCCCGGCCTCAGGTCTGGGAGTCTCTTGTAAAAGAAAGTCGAAGCCACCGTCCCCCAGGTCTGGGAGGAGGCGGGGCAGATGATGCGGCAGCCTTCCTGGGGGGCCCTGAGCCTCCCAGGTGGGTCCCTGGAGGGGTCACTAGGGCTGCATGCAGTGAGCAGATCAGTAACAGACATCTTTTTAGAAAGTGGGAAAAAAAGCAAGGACTTTCATAAATACGAAAATTGTTTACAAAACAATTACCTAAAAAAGTTCATTGGGGTTGGGTGGGGAATAACAGTAATGTTTTCGTTTCAAATTATTTGCAATGGTACTGATGGTTTATAAACAGAATGGCCGGTTTTCTGGTCTTTCTGCCTTCCCTCAACACCCCAGAGCCTTCCTGCTCCTGACATTTCCCTACCCTCAGCCCAACCCACCCCCATCCTACCCCAAAATTAGTTTGCCTGGAGCCAACCCGGGAGACACACAATTGCCTGGCTGGGTTTCAATTCAACAGTGAACGCAATGCTGGGGGCGCAATGCTGGGGGCGAGAGCACAGGAGGGCGCAGCGGCACGGGCACAAACCTCAGGGGCGGGCCTTGAGCAAAGCCTCAGCCGGCCGGCCTCAAAGCCGCACCCGCTCTGCAGCGCAGGCTGCAGACTGAGCTCCGCGGCCAGCACGCTGGCACGGAAGGACACGGCGGCGCGGGCGGGGCGCTTCCCGGGCGAGGCAGCAAGCGTGCTCTTGCCGTGGGCACCGTGGGGCCTGCTTTCTCCCAGTTGCCTCTGCCATGTTCCTTTCTGGTTAAAAGACTGCTCTCTACCGAGTCCCAAAAGACCAGACAGTTGTCTTCCCATGAGGTACAAATCCGATAGGGCCTCAACTCCGAGATCCAGAGCCCACCTGGATGCAGACGTCAAAATCACATGCTCAGAATCAAAAGCTGTGGCACACCTGCCCAGCCAGTTTATCAGCAGTTGTATAGACAGATCAGAAAAAACTAGCATTTAATATAAAAAGTGTTTTTCAAATGGTGTAATTTCCTATCCTCCTCTAGAAATCATAATTCTTCACGTTTCTGAGGACCTATGGGAAAGGAGAACAATTGAAAATAAAATGAATTATTAAATTATAAAAATACAGATTGGGCATTTTCTGGTATTGTGACCTGTTACAATGTGCCCCCACCTCCACTTTATCTCTCTTAAAATTTTTAGAGGCTGGTTTGGTGTATTACACAGATGACCCTTGAACAACACAGGGGTTAGGGCCACTGACCGCCCCAATGCAGTTAAAAATACACATATAATTTTTGACTTTCCAAAAGCTTAACTATTAACAGCCTACTGGTGACCAGAAGCCTTAACAACAGATAAACAGTCAATTAACACATGTATTGTATATATTATATACTGTATTCTTACAATACAGTAAGCTAGAGGAAAGAAAATGCTTTTTCACATTGTTACAAATCTACAAAAAATCTTCTAATATATTTACTGAAAAAGTCTGTGTATAAGCAGAACTGTGCAGCTCAAACCTTTGTTCAAGTATCCTCTGTATTCTGAAGGAAACAAAAAGACATTTTTGTTTTTACAAACATGGAAACTATCTGCAAATCCCTGCAAACCCCCACTGTGTTTGAACTGCTTTAAGCAGTACAGCATTTACTTCCAGTAAAAATGTACACATTTTTGGTTGGGAGTCTTCTTTTCTCACTTAATAACATACATGCATTTTCCCATGTAGCTGTGTTGCTCATTTATGATTCTCTATTCTTGGATGTTTACTAAACTGTTTTTAACGCTTTTGGTTTACAAATAATAGTAAAATAAATTTCTCCATGTACACAAATTTTTTCCTTGTGCTGAATTATTTCTTTAAGGTAAATTCTCAAGAGAGGACTTATTGAAGGTACAAACATGTTCGGGGCTCCTGACGACTGATTTTCTGCTTTCAAAAGGGACCGTTGCAGTACATGGCATGAGCAAGGCACTTCACAGGGTCACGACACCGTGGCTCCTGTTCCTTCGCCTTCTGAAGGCGGACCTGCAGCTGTTTGATCTCTTGACTGTAGTCCTGCCCCTTGGGAACAATTCGCACAGCCGCTTCCAGACCCAGAACTGTGTCCTCACCATCTCGCCAACAAATGGCATTATCAGTATTTTTTCTGTGTAGTATACATTAATGAGATTCCTTTAATTTTCTTTCCTTAAATTAATTTCTTATTTGTTTTTCTTTTATGTGGCCAATACATCTATATTCTTTGCACATTTAATGGAAATCTTGAGGTTTCACTAATGAATCTGAGTTAATTATTTTTATAGTGAATATCCAACCTTTTAGATATTTAATGTCATAGCATAGTCTTCAGGATGTTTAGGTGAGTCACTCAAGATCCATGTTCTGTAACTGGTTTTTTTAGAGTTAGTTTTAACCTGAATAAATGTTAAAATCCAGAGCCCAGTGAATTATAGTTTACAAAAGGTCACTTTTGTATTCTAATGATTTTTTTAAACTGGCTACCATTTGAGATGTACACACAGTAGGGAGAACATTACATGAAGACTTAATCTTTTCTATTTTTAGCCTAAATTAAATATGAACACTCCACCTCTACCCCAATACACTTGTTTGAAAAAATACTTTTCTTCAAATCAATATGTACTTTGCCTTGATCCTAAATGTCTTCATGCACTCGTGCCTGAACAGTTTTAATGAAAAACGAAGGGAACAGACAAGAAAGCACCCCTCAAAATGTCAGGTTTGGTTTATGAACCTAAACAACAATAATTACAATTAAAGCATCTTTTCTCAAAAAAAAAAGGAAAAGAGAAACGGAACAGCAATTTTATCATCAATAAATACTGCTTAGAAGGCCAAATGAAAAAAAGTGACGACACACCTACTGGTTCACATCGTGCTGATTAATGAGTGGTTCTTCCTTTCCTTTTATTCGTTACTCTGTTAAATTTTATCATCAATAAATACTGCTTAGAAGGCCAAATGAAAAAAAGTGACGACACACCTACTGGTTCACATCGTGCTGATTAATGAGTGGTTCTTCCTTTCCTTTTATTCGTTACTCTGTTGTTTTGCAACAAACAAAACAGAAACCTGAAGCCATGCTTACGTAAAGCAAAGGTGTGCTCACCTTCCCAGCTTGGCTCCTGTGCTGTCGTCTCCTCATCTGTGGCCCCAGTTTCCTTCGCCTTCTGAAAGCGGACCTGTAGCTGTTTGATCTCTTGATCGTAGTCCTGCCACTCGGGGACAATTCGCACAGCCGCCTCCAGCTTCGGTTCTTTGGTCATTGGATTGTTACACTGTGGAAACCAAACAACATACCTGAGCTGAGCTGAAGAAAGGGTATAAGCTAAACGGAACCCAACGGTCTTTCTGTTCTGGGGTTGCAAGTCCTAACTGGATGGAAGAACAACACTGGAGCCAAATGATCTATGAGCAGAAGCAACGTGGCAGTGGCTTATGTGGAGCCGCTACAAAGCAGCTGTGGGCACTACTGGAAGGCAGGCTGAAGGCAGTCCGTCTGGGAAAAGTACAAGGCACACAGACAATCGAAGACAAGCAGGAACTTCATGCTGAGTGTAAGTAGTGGAAAGAGGCCCCAGAAGCCCCAGAGGCGACAGCAGAAACGAGGTCTGCAGAAGCTGCTGGGAGACACAGCCGCAGGTCTGCTCTCAGAGGCTGTACAACAGCTAGAGAGACACTAAAGGAGCACGTGGGCGTTAATGATTACCTGGCCTTACACCACACCAGACTGAAATGCCGAAAAGACCCACGGAAGGCTTACCAAATCAATTGTTTTTGCCCTTTTCTTAGAGGCATCATCACACCACGTTTCACACCAAAGCCATTCTTGAGGGAGTGATTTTATTGGCACTTGATGGATCATGTTATTGGGCAAATCCTGTTATAAACAAAACAGGGATATTAACAAGCCAATGTCACACAAAAACATAAATGCACAATTCTTCAGTAATAGCACAAAGAATCCAGAAATCTATTTCAAAAATCTATTTAAAAAAATCAGTGACCACATTGGAACATAGTATAATTCAGAAATTATATTTTGGTATGCAATTAAGTATATTTACAGAATAAAACAGAAAAATCGTATCATCTGAGCAGATGTCAAAAAAAGTATAAAACCTAAGAGAAGAGATTTTATTTTTTAAGTAGCAAACTCGGAACAGAAGGAACATCCTTGGATCTGGATGAGCAGTGCCTACAAAACACCTACTACAAACATCACACTTAGCGGTGAAACACTGAAATGTTGCCTTTGGTTCAAGAATATCTACTATCAACATTTCTATTCAGTATTATGGAGTCCTAGCAAATAGAGAAAGAAAAGAAATTATTTAAAATATAAAATTGGAATAGAAAATGTCAAATTGACACTATTTACAGATGCTACTATGATTGTGTAAACACAAAGTCCAAAAGCAGGTACAGATTAGCAAGGTGGCTGAATATAACAAACATCAATCACAGTTCTGGACACTAGCAACAAACAGAAGTGAAGGCCCTAAAAAACACCTCTAACAAAGAATACAGAAGATCTCTTTGAAGGAAGTTATCTACGTTATTGAGAGAAATTAAACACAACCCAAATATAAAATCCTAGCAAGTGTTTTTTCTCCTGAACTTAACAAGCTGATTCTAAAATGTATATGGGGGAAACAAGGACAAAGAACACCCTCAGACATGCTTAAAGAACAAGGCGGGAGAATCTGACTTACTGGGTATTGTTAAAAAGGAAAACACAGGCCTGACATGCGGTCACTTCTCTAAGGCCAAGTCACCAAGCCTAATGCCCAACCTAACCGGTGTTCACCTCTCCCAGGGGTGGAACTTTTAGCCAGTCAGCCTAGAATTTCCTGATCACTAGTGAGGCCATCTGCATAAGCCCCTGCTCCTCCTAAGGGAGGGTGACTGCACCCGAAACAATGCCTAATCTCTTTTTTAATTTATTGCCCAACCCTCCTATTAGAAACCTCCCATTTGTATACAGCTCAGAGCATTTCTCTACTTGCTAGACGGGATGCTGCCCAATTCATGAATCACTTAATAGAATCAACTAGATATTCAAATTTACTTGGTTGAATTTTGTTTTTTAGCAGTATCAAGACTTATATAAAGCTACAGTAATTGAGATATTTTAGTCTGGACATGAAGATAGACAGACCAATGGGATAAAAAAGAGGGCCCAGAAACAGGTCCATGTGGACATGGGTGCTTCACAGATGGCAAAGGCGGCACTGGAAAGCAATGTGCCTCAGCAGACAACCAAGCTGACTTGACCGTGTGCACAGGAAAGGTGACAACTGAGCTCTATCTCACACCACACATAAAACAAAGTCCTACTGGAATACAGATCTAACTCTGAAAGAAAAAAACACAATAAAGCTCATATAATATAAAAAGGCATCTTCATAACCTCAATAGGGGTCAAAAAGCATTAACCACAAAGGAAAATATAATCACTAAGAGAATCCAAGTGGGAAAATCTGTAACATGCAAAACCAATAAAGAATATACTACCAGTGTACATAAAGAATGACCATAAATCCACAAGGAAAAAATTAAACCACCCAAACACTTCAATAGGCACATCACAAAAAGAGAGTACGTGAATAGCCATAAACACACAAAATGGTGCTTAACTTCATCACTGATTAGGGAAATACAAAGTTAAGACCATAATGGAGAGTGACATCAGCAAAAATGGCCGAGTGAGGAGCTCTGAAAATTCACCCCTCCATAAAAGCAGGCAAAAAATGAGCAAAAAGTAGGATCAATTTTTTCAGGACTCTGGAAATTAACCAAAGGCTTCCAGCAACCCAAGGTGCATGTGTAAGTCAACAAAAATGGTTGAATGTCGGGAAGAACAGTGAGCTCTATGGTGTTTTAAACTGACCCTTCTCCCATTCTCCTGCTCCCCATCAGCCTCAAAAAAATAACAGCCTGAATTCCTATACTGGAGGAGAACAAGGCTGGAGGTCTTTCCGAGCTTCATTCCCAAAGCGGAGTCGTCACCTGACCTAACTGGTGGTTCCCGGCAAGCCTGTACTGTAACGGCCTGTCTCTATTCACTCTCACTTGAACCCGCCCAACGCTAAAAGCCTCTTCTTCACAGATGTGTTCGTGTGCTAAGCTTCCTGAGACTCCCTGAGGTACAGCACCAAAAGTCTCAAAAGGAGAAACGGAAGAATGAGATGTCCCTAGGAAGCTTTGAAAGGAAAAGACATGCTCTTGGGAATACAGAAGGCAGGTACACATGCAAGGCTCTGAGTGCACCACCAAGGCAAGCCTAAGAAAGCCCAAGCTCTCCCCTCTGCCTCTTCTCGCGGCCAGAAATGACGGCTAAGGTAGAGCTGCAAGCTGCCTTACTGACTGCTGAGGATGTGCCCCAACATGCACTCAGTGGTTTTTGGCGAAGACTGGCAGTCTCACTGGTTGTGAGCACTTAGGATCTCTGTCCGATTTTGGCTGACCACTAAGCTAACCAGGCAGACAAAAAACACAGATTTCACACACCTAATTCAGGAGGCACAAAAAAACAACTAGTACAACAAGCAGTGACAACAAACTTGGGGGTGGAATCTGATGTCCAGAGTTGTCACACTTATTTGAAATCCTTAGTTTTCAACAAAAATGAAGAGGCATGCAAAAACAAAGGAGGATTCATATAAAACAAGGAAAAAAAGCAGTCAGTAGAAACTGTACTTGTGGAGCCCCAGACATTGGACTTACAAGACAAAGACTTTAAACCAGGTCTTTTAAATATGGTCAAATGGCCAAAAGAAACATCCCTAGCAGAACTAAAGAAAGTATGAGAATGTTTCAAAAATTAGAGAATACTAATAAAGAGGCAGTAGTCATACAAAAGAACTGCACAGAAAATATGGAATTGAGAAATACATTAGCTGGAAGGAAAATTCACTAGAAGGGTTCAACCACATGTTTGATCAGGCAGAAAAAAAGAATCAGGTCAACAGAAGATAGTTCAATTGACATGATTCAGTCTGAGGAGCAAAAAAATGAATAAAAATAAATAGAACCTCAGACCTTTGGGAATACCATCAAATATACCAACATACACATAATGGGAGTCCCACGAGGAGAAAGGGACAGAAAGAAGAGTTAAATAAATAAAAAACTTCCCAAGTTTGATGAGAAACATTAATCTACACATCCAAAAATGAACTCCAAGTAGGGTAAACTCAAAAGAGACCAACACCTAGATACACCATAATCAAACGAACTATCAAGATAGAGAACCTTGAAACGAGCAAGAGACAGTGATTTGTCAGACAAGGCATCTTGTCACAGGCCTCACCCTCATGTCATCTCAAGATAGCAGCTGATTTCTCACCAGAAGCCATAGAGGCCAGCAGGCTGCAGAACAATATATTCAAAGTGCTGAAAGAAAAAACTGTCGAGCACAAATGTTATATTCAGAAAAACTTTTCTTCAAAACCATGAAGAAATGTACACATTCTCTGAGAGTCTGTGGTGCCAAAGCCATCATACCAGAAATACTAAAGGGAGACCTGGTCGAAAGGAAAGGACACCCCAACTCAAATCCACATGAAGAAATAAAAGGGTATGTAGGTAAATAAAAAAGACAGTATCAATGTATTTCTTGTTTGGAACTCCTTTAATTTAAAAGAACAACTACAAAAAAGTAATAATTATAAATCTGTGTTGATGGATATTTAATGTATAAACATGTAAATTGTACCATAATAACTGTGGGGAAGCAGAGCTATATAGGAATAGGGTTTTTGAATACTACTGAAATTAACTTGTTATTAATTTTACTAGACTGTCATAAAGTGTTACTGATAATCACCAGGACAATTAAGAAAATAACTAAAAAATATATAGTAAAAGAAAAAGGGAATTAAAATGCCTATTTAACATAGAAGAATACAGTACAAAAAAAAAAGTAATGTAGGAACTGAAGAACATAAGACAGATGACTTCTAGGAACACAAATAGGAAATGGCAGATGTAAATCCCACCTCAGTAATAATTACATTAAATGTAAATGGATTAAACTCTCCAACTGAAAGCCACATGGGATACCAGCTTACATCTACCAAATTAACATACTGACAGTAAGCATTGGTCAAAACATGGAGCAACAGGAATTCTTACACTGCTGATGGGAGTATAAATTACAAATACTTTAAGAAGCTGGAATCATCTAGTAAAGATAAAGATACACATATCTGATAATCCAGCAATTCCACTTGTAGTTGAACACCCAGCTGAAATACGTGTAAACGTGCACCAAGACTTGTGCACGAATGGTCACAGCAGCACTACCCATGAAGACAAAAACAGGAAACAACCCAAAGGCAGAACAGATAAATAAAACTAGTACCATTATTCACAACAAACACGGATGAGTCTCACAAACATGATGTCAAGCAGAAGTAAGATTCAGTCGAGAACATCTTACATGATCCTATTGAGATACAGAGAAAAAAGAGACAAAACTAGGGAGTATTCAAAGACACACGCTCACGCAGTAATTCTATAAAGAAAAGCAATGTGTGATTACCACGGAGTCAGGGTAGAGAAGAAGGGTGCCTTTGTTAGAGAAGAAGAGAGGCTTCTGGGATGCTAGTAACGTCCTATTTCTTGAATTAGCTGGTGGTATATGGGTATTTTTTTCTTTGTGGTAATTGAATACATATGAGTATGTATGTATTTGTACATTTTTGTTTTGTACACTTTTCTTTATGGGTGCTATATATCACAAAGTTTTTAAAATGTTTAAGGTAGATATAAGAAAAACAAAGTATGTGAGACTAAAACACACTATAATCTCACCTCTGAAAACTGGTTAGCATTAATAAACAATGATTCAGCTAAACTTCTTTAAAAATAACATAGTTTCTGATTGTAGAAAAAAAGAGAAACTATGATGCTCTACTCTATATGGTGAGTCCTGAGCTAGGTAGTTCTTAAGAAGAGAAACAGATCGATCCTACCAGGCAGAGAAGTAAATGTATCAGGTTAGTCTAGGTACAAAATTAAAAGGTAACAGTCCAGAGGCAGCATCCTCCTTCCCTTTCCCTTCCAAGCCAACTCCAGGCCTCTGACATTTTTCACTAGGTCTTCTCTTGAGGACAGATAAAAATGTCACATACACATACACACAATTTCTTCCCATGAAGAAACAAAACACTGTCCAACTGGAAGAGAAAACTAAGAAGCAAATAACACGTCATTTTCAACACAACATTGTATGTGCATCACTGAAAGTGTTAACCAAAAATATAGCCACTTACTTGGTCAAGATTTGAAAGGCTGTTGGGATCCTGACTCAGACCTTGGTACTGTCCCCTAAGTCTGTCACCAGCAGCTATTTTCCTAAACTTCTTCAGATCAACGACATACAGTGCACTGGATAGAGAAGATCAATTTGTTACAACCATGGATTATGGCAGAAAAAGTAGCCCCACTGAATGATGGGACAGGTCACTAGGCAAACATGCTGGCTTCTCTTTGAAGAGGTAAACTGAGGCCCCACAGTGGGACTCAGCGTCAGTATGTGCTACTTCGAAGATGCCTAAGGAAGTCATTACAGAACGTGCACTCTGCCACCACAGGCTCACTGTCACTTCCTCACTTGACTGCCTTCCAAACAAAAGCATCTCCAACAAAAGAAGGTTTCAGGCAAATGTCAACAGATTAGGTAACAAAAGCTATAGTAACTGATAAATAACAATTAGTCAAAGATATCCTGATGACGTCTTCTATGTTGAAGAACTGTAATGTTACAGTTCTTCTGGACCAAGAACATAAAGTATTAATGCTGGCATCACATGCCCAACATTGCTGTGTGTGTTGCCTCCTACAGGCTCCCTACCTCCAGATCTTCCAGGCACACTGGGCCCAGAGAAGATAATGTAAGTGTTCATTAGAAAAGCAACAAATGCATACACCGTTTGATCCAGGGGTCCTAGGAATTTATCTCGTAGACTTGAAATATACAAAAGAGTGTATTTACTCACTGCAACATTGTATATCTTAGCAAAAGACCAAATATTACACTTACTGGAATAATATGTGGGTATGAAGAAGGTCCCTACATAGTGGTATAGCCAGAACTACTTGAGATGCTAAGCACTGAAAGCGAGGCACAGAGCCGTAAACAGGATGGCTGTTTAGTGTAAAGAAGATGTCATGTCATGTAGGAATTCAGACACTGGAGGGCATTCAGCAGATGAACAGATTTTCTGCTGTGGGAGTGGTAACAGGATAGAGAGACAGGATTGGGAAGACTTTATTCACTGTACACAATTTTTACTTCTGAGCCATATTAACTATTCACAATTTTAAATACACAAAATTAACTTGAAAGCCAGTGAATTGGTACCTGATATGATACTTTCGCCCAGCTAAATGGCTGGCCCAGTACCCCGATTTCCAGAACCTGTAGCCGTCCATCTCTCTTCGGCTGTCACAGAAGGGAGTATAACCGTAAGGAGCGCCATCCAAGCTGAGGTCTCTTAACTCTTTCAGATCTGTTCGCACAATCTGTACAAAAGCAGATCACACGTCACTGCTCAGCAACCCTGCAGAGGGCCTCGCTGAAGGCATCAGGAGGGGCAGGTCAGTGGGTACCAGCACAGATGCCAGAGGCAGGCCCAGTGAGCCCGAGTGCCGCCTGCCCTCACTACCATGTGATGTTTAGCCTAGTGCTCGGCACACAGTATCCTAACTATTCAAAAAGAGTAGAAATAAAACCAGTTTACGTTGCTTAGTCCCCCCGTGACTCAGGTTCTTCTTCTGTAAAATGGACATTCTCACAGGTTGCTGGGAGGATTACGTAAGTTGACACATGGACAGAAGTGGAATGCCTACACACTGTAAGCGCTCACTAAGGATTAAGGGTGCTTCTATTAGAATCAGGAGAGTATGCTTTGAGTTGACCCGGTAGTGACGTAAGTGAGCCTGGTAAGAGGGAATTCCAAAGATGTGGGTGAAGGCTTTGTCCAAATGACTTTCGCACACATGCTATCACTTCCATTCAGATGCCTAACTCAGGCTTCAGCCAATTCAAGTAAGGGGAAAGCTGTAAAGCAGAAGTAAATCTACACTTTTTGAGTTTGCACGCTATAAAATTGCAGTGTGTTCCTTTTAATTAAATGAAACCTCGACAGCAGGAAGAATATCTATCTGTTCCTGCTAAGTCCCATATTGTCAAGGCTGGGCAACTGCACAATTTGAGCTTCCTCTCTTACCCACGTCAATACTTTTGGGCAAAAAACTGGAGATAACGGCAAGCATTGTTCAACCTCAACTTTCCAATTTTAGTCTGCATGTTAAATGAATTAAAAATAAGATATACAACTGCATACACAATGTAATTACAACAATTGAAAGGGACCCAGGAAAAAAAAGATGAAAAGGGGATACAAAAACGCAAACTTAAAAAGTGACCTTTCCATATATTCTAAATACTGTAAAATAAGCATATTCCCATAACTAATGCCTTTAATACAACAGTTGAATCTGGCCTCTGAGAGCTAACCTGATCGGCATCCACAAACAGGAACTTGTCAACAACGAGCGGGAAGAGCACATCCAGGAAGAGGATCTTGTAACCCCAGATGATGCGCTGCTTCTCAGTCTGCTGATGAAGCCACCGGGGCCACTTGTACTGAACAAGCTCATACTGGAAATTGTATTCATTTGCCATATAAGGTATAAATTCCTAAGGCATAAATACAGAGAAAACCAAAGTCTCTTAACTCTTCAGGATGTAAGTCAACCACCAAGATCATGGCACCAGAGAAGCACATTTACCCTAACAGTGGTCTGACACAGAACTCTGACTCTGACTAACGTGACTACATAAAAGACATAAACGTTTATCAAATCCCTGCTTCTTTATAACTTCTGATCACCACGTGAAATGACAACTCAGCCACGAAGGCTTTCGGATAACCAGTACATGTGTGCATGTAAGGGAAATGAGCTTTAAGTCCATTTGTCTAAACTTCCTTGCAGTAGAATGTTTTTTTTGAGGTTGACTTTAAGCCACTCACAGAGCTAACCCAGGGAATGACAGGCAAACCCAAATATTCCAAACAAATCTGCTGCCATTAAGTCTTTCAGGTTCCAAATACAAGTACCTTCAGTGGACCAGAAATTAATCACATATCTAGCAGAGAGATCACTGAACACAGTTGCATAACAATGTCTATAGAATAACAGCAAAAGAGACAAACAAATCAGTTCAGATGACAAATACTGATAGAAATAAAGCAGAAAGCTTTCTAAGTGCACTTTCTGCTTTGCAAGGATGAAGTATGACTTCCACATGTCACTGGGCAATCGCTCCTGGCAGAATACACCACCCCCTCGCCGGGTGGCGACACTGAGCTTCCCAGTAAACCGCAGCAGGCCCACTCCGAGGGGGGCGCATCCGCGCATCAGAACAAAGACATGGGCTCTCCTCCATGTTATCCAAACTTCAAACAGGTATTAATTTTGTGTTCAGTTCTATAACAACTATCCCCCCAAAAGAGACCATTCTGGAGGAATAATCAACATAGAAATATGCAAATGAGTTAGGGTAGCCATACAAAAGGGAATGTTAAAAACTATACAGACAACATAGAAATAGTAAAAAGTATACTGCACATATTTCCTTAATAAGAATATTTTCCTTTTCATGGGAAAACAAACCTTAAATGTGGGGGACAAATAATTCTTCAAGAACCAGAATTTCACAGGAGTTTTGGTATTCTTCAGGACTGATAGCATCATTATGCTGTCAAACAAAAGCAAATCATAACTTTTTAATGCTTTTTCATCACAACAAAATCAAACAGAGTCCATCACAGGACTGCTTAATGTTCTTCGCGCCAGTTCTAACTGACAGCTCTCTTAGGCAGAGAGCGCCTTAGTAATGGAAAGACACACTCACTTACTCTTATAAAGTTAGCACTGCATGGAAGAGAGGCAGCGTTTCTCACCCATAAAAATATACCTGACAAACGTAAATGACTTAATTATGTTCCATCTTTAATCATCTGCTCACAACCTGATACACTGACGATGGTGCCAACGAACAGTGGGGTTGTGGTTAAGTGACCACAGCCCTCTCCCAGGAAAGCCTGCAGGAGGCACAGCAGCTCCGTGTGACCGCGCTGCCTCCCGCAGCCTGACCCGGGAGGCGTGCGGGGAGGAGAGCCAGGAGAGGCAAGGGGATGGCAAAGGGGCTTCACTTCCAGGACGTCCTACTTGGAAGACAATCCAGAACAAATCCTGAGTCAAGGAATCGAATTAAGTTCAGTCGTTGCTAACACCTGACAGTACTACTTTCTTTAGGTCAGATGTGATTTCTTGGAAACAGGAGGGCTAAACGTGAGTAAAGTGACACTTCGCTGCTCATCACTGATGTGTAGTGGCTAAGTCAGAAGAACCCTGGCATCAGGAAGTCACTCACAGCCAAGCCCTGGGCCCCGATCCCTGGAGACCGCCTTGCCTCTGGCTGTGTGACCTCACGCCAGTCCCTGCACCCAGTGAGTCTCTGTCTGTCTACTAAACAGCTGTTTTCATAAAAGAACTACAATCCCTCCTCACTCTAAAATCCTATGGATCGTTAGAAGGTAGGTCCATGGTCCTAGTCCACTCGTATTCTCTATGCTAACCTAACTTCTGGTTTAAGCAATGCTTGGTGGCCAATTAAACACCACTACTTAAAATACGTGCACAGTGATATTAACAGCTTATACCTTTGTAATATCCACACAGATGTATCTACTATACAGCTCGACTTCATGAGGTTAGCATCTCAAAACAAATACAATTGTGTATGTAACCTACTCACAATCCTCAGAGGGCCTCAAAATACACAGGAGTGTAACAGGTAGAATCCCATAAAATACTGACTCTCTAAATAAAAATACTGTGACAAATTCGTTCGTACACACTGAAATAATCAACATGACTAACCGAAGAAATCTTTCATAGAGATGACCAGATGCAACGGAGAAAATGTTAATTATGTCATCTTTATCCTGTTTCACTTCCTCAGTCTTCTGTCCGCCCGAAAAGCCCCTGTAATAATCAAGGTAAAAACAAGAACACTTGAAATGCCAGTACAGAGCCACAGCCTATGAGGGGAGAGGTGAAGGGACTGTGCTTCCCACTCTGTCCCTTCCCTGGGGGGCGACGCAGAGGGGGCAGCACAAGGCCAGCGAATGGCCACGGGAACGAGAAGGATGCTGCCTGCAGGGCACTATGCTGCGCAGGAGACTGAACGCAGGCTCCGCTACAGAATCCATCAGTGCCACGTGACATGCACAGCGCCATCATCACTCCGCTCTCCAGAGGGCGGGCACAGCCCACGGGAGCCCAGGCGCCCGGGAGAGAAGCAGCGGCACCTGGGGGCTGTCGGCCTCGCTTGGTCAACAGGGGACAGGCTACACAGAGCAGCATCTGAAAGGCCCAGGCAGGGTTATTATACCAAAAAGAAGGGAGGGATGGTGCTTACATCTCAATTTTTCCTTAGAAGTATTAGTTCATGAAGCCAATTTACCATTTGAAGGAGTCCCAAAATCCAGACTCATTCTCATTAGTTCCATCACTCAGCAAATCCTCATTCACCATGTCTGCCTTCTTCTGAACCTGCAATCACACATGACAGATCTTATTCCTCCTACTGGCTTTCACAGCGTTAGAGTGACTTTCCCTGGATGTACAGGGTGAGGCTGCCAGCAATGCGGAACAACTCCCCGCGAGCCAGTCCAACCCACCCAGCATCAGGACTAGTTGGTGGGGTGCCTTCATCACATCATATCAAAACCTTGGGTGAGGAGACACAACCTCTTTTAATTAGACAGCAACTGTTTTCAGTTTGAAAAATGGGCAAAGAACCTCAAATTCAACTGTAGAGGAAACAGTCTGAGCAAAAAGAGAAACACAATTTCTCAAGCTAGCAGCTAGTTGCAGCGAAAGCACAGCCCACGTGACCTATCAGGAGGGAGGCATTCCATGCCACAGGCTTTTTTCAGGACTTATTAGTACAAAGAATCTTCTCTACAGTTTACGGATCATTTTTCTGCTCAACCTTATGTAGTCAGCTTTAGATTTTACTGTGTGCAGTGATTATTTATCCTATGACATCTTTTACTTGAATTTAAGGCACTAATAACTGCAAAGTTCTGAAAATTGAGAAAGTGAAGGTGAGAAGAAATTAAATAGGGCTACCAGTTATTGTTGTTGAAATTTGCACTGGCATTCTCTCCAAATTTCCAAGAATGAAGTCATCAATAAGAATGTGAATTGTGACTATAAAAGCAACACAGTAGCTATATGAAAGAGTAAAGGAGATTTTCATACTCCTCAATAAGACTATCCAAAAGGTACAATCTCTCAGCAGAAGGAAGCCACAAACACATATTTACAAAATACATTTTGCATTTAAAACAGTATTTTTATAAATGCTACAATAAAACTCCAAAGATGAAGTAAAGTCTTGGGCTGGTTTCTGTCCCCCGCCCCAGCTTTACTGAGATATAACTGATATCAAAGTGTACGAATTTAAGGTGCACAGTGTGATGATTTGATATACATGTACACTGTGAAAAAATTAACACAATAATAGCATTATTATTAGAGTTAACGTATCCATTATCTCACATAGTTTGGGGCTGGTTCAAAGATACAAATCTTTAGGTAATTGCTTCTGACTTTGAGAATATGTTACTTTTACCAACTATGAAAGAGTGACTACCTTAATACATAAAACTCACCTTCACTTTAATAATTTTACTCTTAAAGTTGTTGAGAACAACCACCACCTCATCGGCATCAGGTGGAGAATCTGTACCATCGTGGCTGAGAGAGAAAAGAAAGAGGATAAGATGGACATTACAAACCACCATGCGGTAAATACTCTGACATCTATCTGCCACATTATCATCTTTATCACAAAGGAGTTTTTCAGAACAAATGATTTTCTCACAACCTGCCCTTTCAAGCTAACACAGACGCACTTGTGAATATCTCAGTCCCTTAAACACTGAGCGTGGCAAGCAGTCAGAGCCCACACTTCCTTCCTGAGCCCCTCTTTCAGTTACCTTTCAGAGAGCCAGGGGCTCCCAGACCAGCAAGCCCATGATGAGTGTGAGCACCGTATGCACCCACAGGGTCTGAGCGAGCACCGCGCCCTCGGTAAGGGAGCACCAGGGCAGCGGCCGCTCTGCCCCATCGCCACACACAACACTTACACTCACGGGCAAGTAGCAGAGCGTGATTCTACCTCAGAGTTTCAGCAAGGCATCTACTCTAATCTGCCCAGGCACACAGTCAGCCAAGGCCAGGCCCTATTCAATCCGGTGTCCACACTGTGGAGAAAGAACTGTGTAACAAGTTCTATTTGCAGGTAAATGGGGCAGAGGAGGAAAATTTTTGAATATTATTTCCTAATAAGCAAGTAAAATGTCTAAAATTTCCAGTCACCAATTTTCAAGGTATTAATTGCAGACAGCCATGACAAAATATGTATTTTCTGAATTCACTGTCACCCAACAGAGAGCAGAGTCCTCAGGCAAGGGTGAGACAGTGCTGGGGACCACGGAACACCGCAGAGACTGGGGGATCCCATGGGAGACACCGAGGGAAGAGCCCCAAACGGCAGGCGCCAGTGGCCAGGGAGAGGCACACAGAGGGGACAGGCTTAGGAGGGCAACAGATGAAGTCCTCGTGACAGATTAAAATTCCGTAACCCCGTATTTGGGGAAAATATTATTTAGAGGACAACGTGCTATTTACATTGAAGATGTTACTACAGTGCAAAACTCTTCTATTCCTGGGTAACAAACATGTAGTGACCCACACTGAGCTCACGTGCAGTAAGATCCTCTGGGACTAAGATGAGGACTTGACGAGAGGGTGCTTTAGATACACTCCCATGGAGCTCATTCACTAAAAACACAGACGGGGTGTCTTTTTCACACAGCCTAAAACTAATTTCAACTGTGTAAGCAGAATTTAGACCTACCTCCTTAAAAGGCAGTACAATTTTTTTAAACTGAGTCATTTGTAGCAAACTCTTGAAGCAAAGCCTGCTCCTCAAGTGCTTCCCCTTCACCGCCCGGGAAGCCCAGTGCCGGCCCCGGGCTTCGCCGCCAAGGCTGACACACACCGTGTGCGCAGCTCACTCAGGGTTGAGCAGCATCCTGTCTGGGTAGAAAAGTCTGACTGTTCTGCTCTTTTCCCCTTTCTTGAAATGACTCAATTTCTCATCTGCCCATGGGTTCAGTGACAGGTGATTTGACTCTGAGATACTGTTAGCACAAAGGAATGACTGACGACTGACAACTATAATTCTTCTTAAAAGTTTATACCACTTACTATCCAATTATTTCCAGACAATTATGCCATACTTGGTTTCCTGGAAAAGGCACTGTTTTAACACACATACAATTATAAATTAAACTCTATGCCCAGGCTAACAGCCAGTGCAGTGATCAATTCAAGAGGTTCCGAAGAAATGCACCGCATCACTTAGTCTTACCTATAGATCCTATAAATATCTTCAGACCGTCCCCTCCTTAGTCTGAGAATCCAAGCGCCTGGGTTGGCTTTTAACTGAAAGTAGCCCTGGAACAGGAGGAAAGACAACTTTACTTTTCTTTGAAACATCAAAACACTGTTTCTAAGGGTCAGTTATTTCTCTTTCTGAAATATCAGTCAGACCTGCATTTTAAATAGGATAGTTAATCAGGGCCCTCAAAAAAAACCCCAAAAAACTACACATTAGAAACACTAACAAAACGCAGGCCAGTCAAGCCAAGAGGTCTGCCCTTGAGCTGTGCTTCAGTGGAGAATCAGTGTGTGGTGTGTGAATAAGCTGCTAACCTCCAAAGAAGGAAAACCCTCTCAGCTCATAAGCAATGCATTTTCAGGGGTCTATGCATTAGAGCAGAGTATTCTACCATGTGTCCTTTAAGTTGACACACAATTCCAATATACAAGTGTAACTAAACTTCAGGTTTTCGTATTGACCAAAGTCAGTCAATTATGAATTTTCACCTCACTCATGTCCAGAAGGCTAACTGCCCAGCATACGCTGCAGTGCCCAGCATGTGGCAGCCTGACTATTTACCAGGTTGGCCATAACGATGGTGTCCACAGTGACGGGCTGGGCTGAGGTTCCCAGTGTAAACTGCAGTCCGCGTGGGGGCTGGCCCGTGGTAATGTCGTAGCAGTGACCTTCTAGTAAGAGGTACTCCAGCTCGTACTCGGCAGCCACCACGCTGTCCACCTACAATACCGAAATTAAATTACCTGATGACTACTCAGCAATCAGAAACAAACTGCTGATACGTGCAACATGGATGAACTTCAACAGCACCATGCACAGCGAAGGAAGCCAGACACGAAGGCTACATGTATATATGTCAGCTCACATGTTTAAGAAACTCAGGAAAAGGCAAAACCACAGTGACAAAGTACATCAGCCATTGCCTGGGGGAGAGGAGGGGGTACCTGCCAATGAGCACAGGGGAACTTTCTGGGGTGACAGAAATGCTCCGGATCTGCACTGCACTGGTGGTTACCAACTGTATACAATTTAAAAAACTAGGTGGGTTCGAAAGAGTCAGGAAAAAGGATAGAAGAATGATAAAGAGGTTATTCCGAAAGTACAGATGAAAGGAGACTGACCTAGGAAGGAAGTATGGGAAAAAGCATGTAAGCAGCTGCCCAACAGCTCTAAGAGAAAGAATGGAGAAGATCTACATGAGAAAACAGAGCAACAATGAGAAACATCAGAGAAAAATGCAAACTCCTGGCCTGTAGCTAAAAATATTGCTGTTCTAAATGCAAATGTCCAAAATGTATTCAATGGCTCCATAAAGGCATAAAACCATTCATGTTATACACCAACTGCCTAAATTAACTGATTCCCAGCAGAAAATATTATGTAACTGCCAGGTCTTGGGGTAGCTTGGCTTTAGCTAAATAATGAGTTTCTATCCCAGGTTTCAGACTTGGCTATCTAACACTAATACTGCACTATTTGGAGCTTAATATGTTACTGCAACGCTAAACTCCAAAATATAATAAGAGCCAAGAGGTAAACCTCCACATGCTCACCAAGTCTCAGGCTCTGCATTGTCAGCGAATGCAGAGAAACTGGAGGAAGCCTAAGAAAGGGCAGCAAAAACTGAAGATACGAAGAAACCTGCTTGCCCACTGACTCTGTACTTCCTCACACTGTTCCTTAGAGCTTTTTGTGGCCATTTTATAATCTCTTCAATAAAAGCCAGTTCCTCATGGGCAAAGGTTCCATTTCCTGCATGTTAAAAATACAGTGGATAGGACTGGGGTGGAGAATATGTCAAGTATGTACACACACACTCCCCCCTAACTCAGCACCAAAGGGATTCTTCTTAAAGAAAGTAGAGTTATTTAACCTAATGAAAAGAAGGCTGAGAAGTCCTTTGGTTACTATCTTCAATTTCCTGGCTTCTCATTACCCAAGAAGATAGAACCAGGAAACAGGTTTCAATTACAGCAGGTGACAGCATACACAGAGGCAAAGGCCTAGAAAGGAAGGGGGTGTGAGATGCTGTAAATTCCCTGAAAGACCAGACCATGTCTTTTAATCCTGTTAATCTACTCAGCTGAGTACAGAGAGTGAGGACTGTGAAGACATCAGCAAGATCATACTGTGAGCCCTCTACTGAAAATGGGCTAGCACAAAAGGCTCATCACTGGCCTCAGAGTCAAAATACATTTACATGGAAATAAATGAAATACAGAACAGAAAAATAGAGAAAATTCAAGGAAACCAAAAGCCAGTTCTTCAAAAATATTAACAAATTGACAAACATTTAGCTAAACTGACTAGAAAAAAAAGAGAACAGCTAACTACTGAAATCAGCAAGGAAAAAGGAAACACTACTAAGCTTAAAGGCTTTAAGAAAATGCTTTGAACAACTGTATGCCAACAAATTAGGTAACCTGGATATAATGGATCAAATCCTAAGAGACACAAACTCCAGAGACTGACTCAAGATGAAACAGAAAATCTAAATAGATCTACAACAAGAGATTGAATTAGTAATTTTATAATTTCCCAACTAGGCAAGGGAATTAAATAAAAGACATCTGGAAAGAAAGAAGTAAAACTACTTCTATTTTGACATGATCTTGCATGGGCTTGTACACTAAGAACTACACAACATTACTATAAGAAATTAAAGACCTACATAAATGGAAAGACATACCATATTCATGGATCAGAACACTTAATACTGTTAAGATGGCAATATTCCCCAAATTGATCTAGGGATTTAATGTAATCCCTATCAAAGTCCCAGCAGCCTTTTCTACAGATATTAACAGGCTGATTCCAAACAGCAAAGAACCCAGAATAGCCAGAACTATCTTGAAAAAGAACAAAATTGGAAGACTCACACTTAGCAATTTCAAAACTCACTATAAAGATACAGTAAACAAGACAGCATGGTATTGGCCTAAAGACAGACACATGGATCAATGGAATAGAGCTGAGAACTTAGAGTTAAACCTTCACAGTTAGGGTTAACTGATCTTCAACACAGGTACCAAGACCATTCAATGGGGAAAAGAACAATCTTTTCAACAAATGGTGCTGGCACAACTGGATATCCACCCACAAAGAATAAACTGGAACCCTACCTCACACCATATACCAAAAACTAACTCAAAAGGAATCAAAGACCTAAATGTAAGAATTTAAAAGTTTGAATGTCTTCGAAGAACACACTATGACCTGGAATTAAACAATGGTTTCTTAGGTACAACACCAAAAGTACAAGCAACAAAAGAAAAAATGCAGACTTAATCAAGTTTAGCAACATTTGTACTTCAAAGGACATTATCCAGTAAGAGAGAAGACATCCCACAGAATGGAGGAAATTATTTGTCAATTATATATTTGATAAGGGACTTGTATCCAGAATATAGAAATAACTCTCACAATTCAGCAATAAAAAGACATGCAAATTTTTAAAAGTAGGCAAAGGGTTTGAATAGACATTTCTCCCAAGACTATATACAAATGGCCAATAAACACATGAAAAAATGCCCATCATTTGTCATTAGGGCAGAATGGAAAATGGTGCAGCAACTTTGGAAAACACCTTGGCAGTCCCTCAAAAGGTTAAACACAGGATTACCATATGACCCAGTGATTCCACTCCTATTATCACATGACCCAGCAATTCCACTCCTAAGGGAAATAAAAGTGTATCTACAAGAATTTGTACATCAATGCTCATAGAAGCATTATTCATGGTAGTCAAAAAGTAGAAACAACCCAAATGTTTAATGGATAAATAAAACATGGTGTACCTATATAATGGAATATTATCTGTCAATAAAAAGGAACTAAGTAGTAACACATGCTACATGATGAATCTTGAAAATAATTTAAGAAACCAGTCACAAAAATATATGATTCAATTTAGATAAAATATCAGAACAGACAAGTCCACAGAGACAGAAAGTAGATAAGTGGTTGCCAGGAGCTGGGGGCTAGGGAGTGACTGCTACGGATATGGAGTTTGCTTTAGGGGTAAGGAAAACATTCTAAAACTAGATAGCAATGATGCTTGCAACATTCTATGAATACATGAAAATTACTGGATCGTATACTTTAAAAGGGTGAATTGATGGCATGTGACATAGACCTCAATGAGGCTATTATTTTTTTTAAATACAACTGTGTCTGAACATTGACATCTCAGAGGCCCGCCTCGATTGTGATCCAGTCAGAGACACCACCATCACATCTTGAATAGGTTTATACATGATATCATACTTGAAATCAACGATGTTCTTACCTCTTCTAAATAAATATTATCCAGATCGTACGGTGTTCTGACAGACTCCACCATCCAGCCCTCGGGGGTGTTTAAATTCAGAGTGAACAGAGGAGACTGTGGCATATCCAAAAACTTTGCTATTGGACCCTTAGCAAAGTTGTTGTCTGAGGTGAAAGAAATCTCTGGTTCTAAGACATAACGGTAAAAGCTGAAAGTGAAAAGAAAAATGTGAGTTTTTAAAACATACAGCCACAGTCCTTGAGTTTACGGGCATCCACACAGGTAAGCAGTGAGCTGAATCTAGAGCACACTGGATTTGGTAGGGCACCTGCCAGGCTGGGAAGGCTTCCTAAGCCACCTCGTGCCCTGATTATACCTCCTGGGTTGCTGCAGAGGCGAGAAGATCCAGGAGAGCGCCGAGGGGAGGCCACGCCTCCCTGCGCGGCTGGGGGGCGGGGCGAGGGGCGGGGCAGGGGCGGCAAGCGTCCCGAGCTCCTGCCCCCTTCAGTGAGGAAAAGGCATGTTTCTCTTAAAAACAAAGTCCTAAATGGTGATGGAGTTCTCAGCAAGCCCTGAGACACTGCATGTAAGAGTTTAAATGTTCTCCTACACAAGGACAGTGGGAGAAGCCGGGAACACTTTTCTCACTTTCAAACACTATTTCAGTTCACTTAGAATACAACTGAGGGAACACAGCACATTTACAAGTTAGGAATTTCCCAGAGCCCCCAAATATGCTACACTATTACTATTTACTGCTTTCAACATAACTTTTTCCAAAGCTCAGACAGTATACAACTAAGCCTGCCTTCCTTTTCAAGATATATGAAAATAAGCCTCGGCAAGCTTCCTCTGATGCATATTCCAACTTAAAATTTCATCTTAAAGAAGAGCATCTAAAGCATAGACAAGTTTCCTTCTGTGCCATAGCACATTTTTAACCAACCAGGTAAATTTAATAGCTACATTCATCCCAATGTTCTAAAATTAGAGAGCTACATATATATTTTCTGACAAGAAAAAGCACAGGTGCCAGGAGCCTGCGTTAATGCCACCTAAAGGGTCCACACCCACACTAAGTTCTTAGAACTTCTGACTGGAGCAGAAATCTAACAAAACTGAACATACAGTAAATGATCTTTTCAAACATGACATCCACGCATAAACCCATCTGATCCTTAACATTCACTATCAGCTTTCAGATATGGTACAACTTTTACAATTGTTGATTTCTTAACCAGCTTGTTTTACCTTTTCAAAGGCATGTCAGAAAGTTTAGATTGGCAGTTCATAAATACTCTCAGATTCATGTTGATCAGCTGAGTTAGAACCTGTAAAAGAACAAAGCTGGTGACTAAAACTTTTTCCTATAGGGAAACTGACTGATACTTGAGACAAAGTATTTAGTTTCTCTTCAGAAATCTATCACCTGACACTGAGGTCAGGGAGAGAACATATCTCAGTATGTCAAGAAAAGATACAAAGATAATACCTTCATGTCTACCCTGGAGAATTTTCTGGAATCACAATGGATGCACTACCTAAATCACACATTCATAGTATCTCCCTTGGCCAACAGCACTGGACGCAGCCTACTGCAAATCACTGCTCCCCACACATGTGGTGAATCACGGATAGATAACAGCTGACCACACAAGGAGAATTTTAAACCTTCATCAGTGTGGCTTACATTCCATAGTAAGAAAAAAACATATAAAATACCCACAAAAAGGCTAGTTGATTATACTTTAAACTTTAACATAAAAAAAAAATTGAGAAAACCGTTTGGCAGAGCTCTTTTGAACTTGCTTTAAACTCTTAACACCTCACGCCTGGAAGACAGGCTGTAAAAACAACACATGCTTGCTGTAAAACTAATGCAGAAGTTTTACTTTTTTACCGCTTCATCATTCTAAATTAAAATATGGCATAAATCCATTTAATTCAAAGACATTTCACTCGAAATAAGGATGATAATTTTTCTTAATCACATGAGGAAACCAACCGAACTGTACCGACTTCCTAAAGTTATGAGGTTGTTTTCAGAACCATCACCAGTCTTTATAAAGTCATTCACTTGGTCAAGAGGCCCTCTAGCATTTTCCAATGCCCTTTGAAGATAAGTAAGGGAACAATGACACTCTCAGAGAACCCGAGGGCATGTGGCCACCCCAGACAGAGATGCTGGGAGCTGCCCCTGCGCCGTCCCTACCGAGAGCAGCGGAGCAAGTCTCTGTGCTTCTCTGGTGACAGGGTCGATGACAGCCACGACATCAAAGTACGTCTCCCCTTCCTTCGGCCTCAGTTTAATGGCACTACAGAGAACAAAAGGATAAAACATTAAACTGGAAAGCAGAAAAATTAACTTTTTTTTGTAGTCCAATGTAACTACCAGCCCTGTTGGTATTTTGTCTTGGCAGTGGGCTTCAGCCCTGGGCAAGTTCACTATGGAGTCAATGAGACTGAGAAATGACAATGGAAAGTTCTAGGAGTGAAAGGACTTATACCAACTTTTTTCCCACAGTGGCAGGTCAAATCACCAGAATCCCATCCACCCAGAGCGAGTCTGCGTGCAGCAGGCTGGTCTCTGTCTCTGCAGCCGTCTCTGGCTGCAGCAGGCTGGTCTCTGGCCCCTGCAGCCGTCTCAGTCTCTGTCCTCGACGCTCCCACCACTCCAGCCTCTGCTCTCCTGCAGCTTTGAGGTCATGCAGCCATGCCAGTGTCACAGAGCACTGGACGGAGCTCTTTATATAGAGTCAATAACAATGTACTGCCCATACATGTGTAGTGAGCTAGCCGACCAGGGCCAGGTGAGAGAATCCTGGCCACAGGAACCTTCATTTTATCCACATATTTAAAAAAAAACTTAAGATCTAGAATAAAAAGGCTACATGGTGATCAAATATGTCATTACATGTACCTCAAAGTGTGCAAAACCTTCTAGTGACTTGGGTTCACTCAAAATGGACCAAAAGATTTGTGTTGTGAGAGGAAAACCAGCTTGAAATGTTATTTAACAAAAAATCTGCAAAAGGATGTTTGTAGCAGTTACAGAGCTTTACACCAATTTTTATTTCTCAGCAACAAGGGTATGAGGAAACAAGAAACAAATGTATTTTTAAAAAAATAATAAAAGGAACATATGAAAATTATAGAAAACTTGCAAAAAAAGAGAAAAAGGAAATAATCATAAAACCTCCCCTCCTCAATCCAACCACTTTGTAGAATATTTCTATATACTCCTTCCTAAAAGTCTGTATAAAAATGAGCCACACCTACAGAATATTAGTGATTTTATAATAATTCTTTCCTTGCCCCAACACTTTATCATAAAGATTTTTCCACGTTGTTAAACATCAAATATCACGAATAAGAAATAATCTTCTGTTTACCAAGGGATCTGGCACAGTTTACTCAAGCTCTTGTTTATTGCTGGACACGTAGGTGGCTTTCAACCTGCAGATAACTTGGCTCACGCAGCTTTTTTCGTATTTGGAAACTGCTTTGAGTTGACAAAGTCCTAGACATGAGATAACTGTCACAGGACACATGTTTTTGTGGCTAATACGTATTGTCGATCACATTTCTAGAAGAACTAAACCAATTTAGAGGGAAAAGAACTAAACCAATGTAGAGGGACAAGTTCCCCAAGTCCTTGCTGGCATTAAATTATACATATTTTGTCTGTTTTCAGTGAGAAACAACAGCTGGTCAGGATTCAGTCAATGCCTCCAGGATTTCTAGGGAGAACACATTTCTCCCCATACGCAGTTTCCAGCTACATGGCCACCTTTCCGAGGTCACACTGACTTAGGTTGCCTAAGAGGAGCAGGGGCCTCTGACAGATTTTAAAGAGGAATAAACTTGAAAGGATTTAAAAATACATCCAATTTTCCAAAAAACATCACTTAAACCAATGCTTATCTTTGCTCTGAAAAAGATTTTAGTATAGTTTTGATGCTAACCACTAATGTTTTATTGAAAATAAAAGTACAAATAGAACATTACTAATAAAATTGTGTAACTATAGTTTAAATGATGGTGAAGATTGTTTCAAATCTTAACTGCTAAGGAAATAACCATTGGAAGAGATTCGCGCCTGCACTGAAGCAGACGTCTTTAATTTTTGAGAATATTAGCAATTCCAGCTGCTGGTAATTATTCCAAAACAATTTTTTTACCCTAAGACCAGCAGCACCTGCTTCACCTGGGAATCTGTTAGGAAGTGTCAGACCCCCACCCAGACTTGCTAACTCGGGAAGTCTGCGGGTAGGGTCAGCAATATGCATTTTAACAGACTCTAGGCCTTAGAACCACTGCCCTCAGATTACCTGTACCTCCATGTCACTCGAAATTCCAGGAGGAACTGCTCCTAAGAGCACAGCATTATACAGTCTCATAAGAACCAAAACGACCAGTCCCAAACAGTCCTCTGGAGTATAGCATCTGAGTCAACCTAGTTCTATGTTCTATGTGACATGTTCATGTTCTGACTTGGTGTCCTAGGTGACCCACAGAAGGCATACCCCGAAACTGACCCTGTGAGATCCTTTAACCACCCCACATCTCTGTAACAAAAAGAGAAGGCAAGACAAAAACCACGAAAACAGGAATACTGATGTGGAAATGGAGAAAGGTATAAACTTAACATCATGTTTAAATACACTTGCTGTGCTAGTCAGAGAAAAGTCCAGAATAAGGTCAAAAGTGGCAGGCGGGGGAACAAGGTTTGGGGATCACACACATTTTCATGAGGTGAGTAGAGGAAATGTCAAAGAATACAGTGCTTCACCGGTCACTCTGGGGGCCTGGATAACAATGCAGACGCTGACAGGAGCACTGGGCTGGGCCAGAGACTCTGCATTTCCCGCAGGCTCCCAGACAGCGCCCTACCACGGCCCCATGGGCACTTTCAGGCAGGGGGATATATACATAACTGGCAATTTAGAACTTTTTGGTTCTTGACAAATAAGAAACATCTGACTTAAATATAACAAACACTCATATAGCTAACACAACCCCAGTAAGAAGTTCTCTAGTTACAATTTGTATGTAACAAAATTTGTAATTTGGGGATTTTAATTATATAAAACTCATGAGAAAACAGTATTCTAAAAAAGGAAGAGTTCTTGCTTGGTGTAGAGAAAACAAAGGTTCCTATGGCCAGGATTCTCACATAGCCCTGGTGGGCTTGCTCACTTTCCCCATGTGGGCAATACATTATTACTGACTCTATATAAAGAGCTCCGCCCAGTGCTCTGGGCTGCACAGCTGCAAGACAGCAGAGACTGGAGTGATAGCAGTGCCGAGGACAGGGACAGAGACTGAGATGGCTGTAGGGGCAGAAAGGCCCGGAGACAGAGACGAGATTGCTGCATGCAGCCTCGCTCTGAGTGGACGGGATTCTAGTGACTGACCCGCCACCATGGGACTAAAGTTGGGTATAAACGCTTTCACCCCAGAACGTTCCACTGTCATTTTTTCAGTCTCACTGAACCCATAGTGAACTTGTCCAGGGCTGAAACCCTTTGGCAAAATACTCAGACTCAACTACAAGATGGGACAAAGCAAACAAGAAGGAAACATGCTCCCTGTGGAGTAACTGGGTAATGAGCTATGCCTGGAAGTATACAGAGAGTGCGAAGGTATGTGTAATGAACAAAACCCAACCTGGGTCAACAAGGGCCTAACAGAAGTCTCCACACAATGGCAAAATAGGAAATGAGCAGACATAGCCAGGGAGAAAGGAGAGGGTCTCCATTCTGGTCTGCAATTAATAATCCATTCAAACTTGATCCTCACAAGGACTGGCTGTGTGAAAGCACAGGTCAAATAAACCAAGGTCCAATCTGCCCCAAACTAACTAAATCAGGACCAGAGAGGAGCAGGATGCAAGCTTCTGTATCTAAAGGTTCCCTGGGTGATTCCAAGGTACCATCAAGCTACGTATCTGCCTAGTAAGGCAAGTGCCACATACATCACCTGAGGATGTTCCTTCTAAAGACAAGTACATATTAAGTCCAAGCATGAGGAAACAACCCAGACTGTGAGACAGTCCACGAGAAAACTGGCCTGGACTTTCACAAAAAGTCAATTGTTTAGGAATCCCCTCCACCCCCCAAAAAAGGCAGGGAACCGTTCTGGATTAAAGACTAGAGAGACACAACAACTAACTGCCATGTGTGATCTGGACAAAAACAAAAAATGAAATTGTTGTAAAAGGTCTTACAGGCACACCAGAGAATTTGAATATAGACTATGTATTAATATCACTGTACCAAAAAGAAATACTCTATCAAGGTTAAATTTCTGAGATATGCTAACAGTACTGTGGAGAAACTCCTAGTACTCAGGAGAATATGCTGAAGAATTCAGGCATGAAGTGTAACAGTGTCTGATATGTCCTTTAAAATGGTTCATAAAACAGATGGGTATGTGTTATGTTTTCTGCAAACATATAAACGCATGTCACATGTATGATACACACACATACATATAAGATGACAGATAAATGTGGCTCAATGTTAACAACTGTGGAATCAAGATTAAGGATACTTAGGTATTCACTGCAATAGTCTCTAAAATATTCTCTAGGTTGAAACTTTCCAAACAAAAAACTGGAAGACAAAAGACTTCCTCACAATGCTAAATTGTTTTTGATTTATTAAGAACAAAACACTTTTCAATACAAGATGAACGAGACAAGTGCTCTGAAAACTGATGTTTCATTAAATGCTTTCTGCCTTCTAAAATGCTTTTCTGCATTCAGAACTATTTCAGATTTACTTAGAAATAAATGTCAATATGCAACTGAGATCGAGATATGAATTTTACACATGAATATGAATATATATGAAAACTGCATGCCCAACAAGCTTTCCCATTCCTATAAGAACATACACATACTGTATATGGAAAGGATAAAGGAGCTGAGGCAAAGGCAGCCTTGAGAGTTTCATAATTAAACAAGTGTACAAATTCAGCATCAATCCGATACCTGTGCCTGTCTTCAAAAAACTGGTACTCAATTCTTGCATCTCCTTTCGGTTGGGCTGACAGGAGAGCATCCACCTTCATTACCAGGTCACTTGCCCTGAAAGATGCAGTTGGTGAAAGTTAGCATATTTAACTGAAGGTTTTCCCAATTATTGCTGCACTTAATATAATCTACCTAAGTACTGATGAACACCATGGTGTCCATGACGTGAACAGAGTATGAACTTTGTACCAACAGACATGAGAAAAAGTGCTGATTTTGTAACTGATTAGTTTTGTAACCTTGGGGGAAAGTGCTGATTTTTCCTTATGTAAAATGGGGAAACTACCTACTCTACATGGCCCTTGTAAATACTGCACTGGCTAAAAAACATACAAAAGCACCTCACTCAGGGCCTGGCCTATAACAGACTGTCAGTGCCATTTACATTCTCCTGCACTCTCTTCTGAGTAACATTATCACTTTTCATTATTTTTAAAGCAATAATTAACTGGAAAAACATTCAGAGAAAAAAACGAGAAAAATGAGACACACAATACCATTATCAAGAAATAAGCATCATTAAAAAACCTAAAAAATCCACTCCAAAACTACTAGATCTAATACCTGAATTCAGCAAAGTTGCAGGATACAAAATTAATAAACAGAAATCTGTGGCATTCCTATACACTAATGATGAACTAGCAGAAAGAGAAATCAGGAAAACAATTCCTTTCACAGTTGCATCAAAAAGAATAAAATACCTAGGAATAAACCAAGGAAGTGAAAGACCTATACTCTGAAAACAACAAGACACTCATGAGAGAAATTAAAGAAGATACCAATAAATGGAAACACATC